GGCGCAACATGTTGAGGGGCGTTGGGAGCGGGGCCACATGTGTCCTCGGGTGCTCTGGGTTTCAGTTTCTGCCCATATATGGGTGCTGGAAGCCATGCACAAATGCAGACTCAGGACTGTGATGTTAGCCCAAGTTGTATGCTACAATATGGAGGTGCCCTGGCAATGGATATGGGAAGAGTTATGTCTCATGACCAGTAGAGCGAAGAAACAGTACTGCAGACTGGCACTGAATTGAGACCCTGATCACTGCAGTTATTTAGCAGTCGTGCTGGAATAAAATGGAGTATAAGGACAATTAACCACCAGGTGGTGCTATTCAGGCTAAAAATAAGTCAACTCGGTTACCATGCTTATGCAGTGATGAGTGTCATCACATACAGTCAGCACCAGTTATTGATAGAAACTAGCAATGAAAATGTTTTTGTGGTTCACTAGCGTTATCTCATACTCAAAGTATGAGTGCATAAAAACCCTTATTCCACTAGTCATTCATCAACATGAGGAAGGTTAAAGAATACCCAAATCAAATGAGATAAAAGTGTCGACCTTCATAAATCAGACATGGACTACAAACAATAGCACAGGTCTGAAAATGCCCCATCCACTGTTGGGGCAATAAGTACATTTATAAACATATGCAGCTGTAATGAACCTGCCTGGTTTTGTTCCTTGCACAGCAAGGAGGATGGTTAGAGTGGCAAATATTTATTTCCCCAAGGATCACAGTTGGAGATTTGCAGAAGGTAGCAGCATTTTGAGGTCACCAAGTCTCCAAATCTATAATTAAACACAAACTCCATGCCAAAAACCTATTTGGAAGGCGTGCCAGAAGAAAGCCTTTTCTTTCATCTAACCACAAACGTAAGTGGCTGGAGCTCACTAGACACTACTGCAACTGATTAGAACCAGGTTCTATGCTCAGATTAGACAAAAACAGGAACAAAAAAAATAAGGGGGGTCCACAACAGAGGATGTAGGTCCATGGAGGATCTGGAGAGATTGAGGAGTGTCTTATATTGCTTGCTCTGTTTTCTCATCAAGCGTTATAGGAGATGACTCAGTGCTGCTATGTTGTACTAAATTCATGGGTGCCACTAATTCTTACACATGGTTTTGTTAAAAAAATCTTTCTTTTTTTTTTTTTTTTAGAATAAGGTTACTTTGATTAAAGGTTAGATTTCTCTCACAAGCCTTTTTTATTTTTAAATTTTTTTTTTTTTTTTAGAGATTTAAAGTATCATTACTTCAATCTAGTTTAAGGACAAATGCTTGATTAGGTATTTGAATAACACCTTTGTATCCTATCCTCTACATTCATCTCATCAACCATCAAACACTTTAAAACACACTTACTGAACACCTTACTGAGAACTGATTAGTGACTCTTTTTAAAGCACATTTGTCTCATACATTTAAAGCCTGCTGAATCTGTATAACTGGGACTTACATGAAACAGGAAGTGACCCAATATTAGAAACGCAATGGCTTTCATCACCAAAATCCATCACCCTTGCAGAATAAGTCAAACACCCCTTTTCCAGACATGTGGAGATATATATATATATATATATATATATATATATATATATATATATATATATATATATATATATATATATATATATATATATATATATATATATATATATATATATATATATATGCGTGTGTCCTGATCAACCTTCAGCTGACACACTAAGGGTCCAGTGGGCCTCTCATCTGAACATTGGGGGTTCAGGTCCTGTCCAAGAAGACACAGATGGATTTCCTATTAACCACTTTTAAGATACATTGAGGGAATGCCCTTTGAAATGGAGCAAGCCACATTTTTGTGTTGCTTTTGAGCATGACAAGTAGCATGAGCACAAAAGTAAGCATGGACATCCTATGTACTGGCTTGCTGAATAAAAATGAAGAATCCCATGGCTCAACGTACTTGGCCCATGCCAGGCCAAATAAAGGCAGTCTGCGTCAGAAGTCCTACAAATAGCAATGAAAACTGGCCATTCATTTGTCTGTTTAATAAACCGCTGCCTCGGTGAGTAGCTGTGGTTGCACACCTGTGTTGACAAGTGTGCTGTCCATTTGGGGTTTTAGAAACGGTCATAAACAGTGCTGCCCGACAGGCAGGAGTGCTGCCAATGCCTGCTGCATATCAACCGCCTGTAACACCCAACACTGCCAAATGTGGGGCGCACCCCATTCCTTCACACAAAACAGCTCAAAAGAGAATACAGTAGATGAATTCATTCACACTAAAAGCATTTTACACTCAGATATATGAATGTGGTAGGCTGCCTGTGGAAAAGAAGCAAACTAAATATTTGCAAAATATTTCTGCCTGTGGTATATATATATATATATATATATATATATATATATATATATATATATATATATATATATATATATATGAAATAGTGAATATGCTTCCCCCTTGGATTTAAACAGTCTGACTGCCCCCTAATGGCTACAGAAGCATGTTACATACTTGGAAATTCATTAAAGAAACACAAACGGGTGTCTCAGTTATTGAAACATGATGTCATATTTGGCATATTGTCATTGGCTTAGCTAGATGATCAACCCAAAATCAACACTAGGTATTTGAATAACACCTTTGTATCCTATCCTCTACATTCATCTCATCAACCATCAAACACTTTAAAACGCACTTACTGACCACTTTTCAGTGCTTATCAAAGCACTTTTCATATCCCATATTCAGGTACAGTAAATTGGAAAAAGAACAGTATTCTGCCAAACCTTCTGCTCACACTTCGATTCACGCTTTTTTCCATGTAGGTTGACATAAAGAGCAAGGGATTAGGCAAGATTTAGGTACATGTTTAGTCTGTGTAAAGCTTTCGGATAATCGGAGGTAGTCCCCACAACTTTTTGACATGCCTAGTTTTACCCCATCACTTTTTGAAAGTGTAGTCTGTTAAAGGTATTTTACATAAAAAGGCATGGCAACAACTGATCCAAACACTAGAAAAATACCCCTTTCACAGTGTTCGTTTCTTATGGTGGTGTCTGTAATAAACCTCCCATATGATAAAACCTAAATCTAAATATCAATATAAAAAATACACATGGCAAAAGTGAGGTGCTGATGGGCAAGATCAGGACTGTGTCAGTCAATAATAAAATTTCAGTCAGTGGAACAGACTGAGAAATATATCACATCAAATCCATATATATAGTTCCAAAAAAAATATATAGTTCCACTGTCATAGTTCATGTCATGTTGAATGAAAGCCAACTCTCACTGTGCCCATGTGTGATATTCCATTAACACTGTATGTTTGGGTGATGAAATTATCCAATTATTAGCCAATCAAGCAGCGCAGTGCATAAAATCAGGCAGATACAGGTCAAGAGCTTCAGGTAATGTTCACATCAAACATCAGAATGGAGGAAAATGTGATCTCAGTGACTTGCTCTCCGCAGTTGTAGCCCATCAGCCTCAAGGTTCAACCTGTTGTGCATTCTGGGATGCTTTTCTGCTCACCACGGTTGTAAAGAGTGGTTAGTTAAGTTACCTTCCTGTCAGCTGGAACCAGTCTCATCAACAAGGTGTTTCAGCCTGCAGAACAATGAGATTATGTTTTTTTCCTTCATTCTGATGTTTGAAGTGAACATTCACTGAAACTTTTGACCTGTATATGAATGATTTTATGCATTACGCTGCTGCCGCATGAGTGGCTGACTGGATAATTGAATGAATAAGCATGTTGTACAGGTGGTGTTCTTAAAATAGCCAGTAAGTGAATATAATAGTGTTGCTCCACCAAAGTACAGGGAGCGCTAATTTGCATACCCCTGAGCCCCTGTGGCATCCTCATTATTTCAACGTCGTCATTGTTTTGCTAGATTACGCATTATATGTTACTGCACGATTGTATTATACCGTCACATTGTTATACGTTTCTTTGTGTCCACTGTGGTTTTCATTGTGAGATTCATCACCATTGCCATTTTTTCCCCTCATCTAGTCAGCTTTGTGACTATCCACCAAAGCCCGTGTCTGTGCTATAACTGTCTGCTGCCAATTAAAAACCAAGTGCATTATTTTAATAATGCTTCCTGGTCAAGCGCCTTTCTAGTCAATGCCAAATCTATGTGGTGGAATTAAGTGTTTCCAGAGACACAGGACATTTCGAAGAGTCCTTCATCAGCTGTGTAAGCAAAGTGGTTCAGAGGAAGTGAAACCTGGTTATGTATGCAGCTTTTATATACTATATAGTACCACAGCCCATCCGCCCTTGTTTCTGTTGTCGTTTCTGAGGCTTGTGAATTCATTGGGTTAAAGTGCATCTTGGTGTGGCAAGGCAAAATTTACTACCTAGTTTACGTTCTTTCCCATTCACGTGTGGCAAGTTTTATTCGTGTCCTGTCTGACTGCTCCTTTATAAACACATTGGATTGCTTCATGCTCGTGAATCATTTCTCGTGAATCGATTCACTTAAAACGAGTCAAGAAAGATTCATTCAGGAATCATCCATCATTATCGAACAGAGCGGCAAAGTCAAATAGTGCAGGAAAGAAGAAGGCGATGGAGGGGGAAAGGGAACGTGCACAAAGAAGAAAAGAAAACAAGAGGTCGCTGTGCTTGGTCAGACTCGCTGGGTGGTTCTGTCTGTTTATTTAGTCTGTGAAGGTGATGGGAACCGAGCGGCGGCCGCTGCCAGTTCTCTCTGAGCCGAGAAAAATATTCATGTGGACAGACGGAATCCAGGGAGAGAGCAGAGAGTCAAACAGAGCTGAGGGCCAACAGACACACGAATGCTCCGGGCTCACATGAAACACATTGCTAGGGCGAGAAAATGCTAGTGAACTTCCCCATGCCTTAGTTTAAAAAAAGAGTAGGAAATGAGGGTCCTTTTTAGTGTCAGACTGGGCATCTAGGACACAGGACTGATTAGCAGAACTATGATCCAGTTAGAGAGATCATGGAAAATATGACTTTATATATAATATGACTCAGGGGTCATATGTGGAGGACTAGTGGTTAGGCCACGGTGCTCTCATCACTGTCTCACCACGGCCCGGGTTCGATTCCTGGCCAGGGAACTGACCCCGGCCACTGGGCTCACACAAGACAGTGCACTCCCAGTGCTAGTCCAACGCCTGGGCAAAATTGGGGAGGGTCGTGTCAGGAAGGGCGTCTTGCATTAAATAAAAACTGTACCAAATCAAATATGTGGGCCGCTGTGGCGACCTCTAACGGGAGCAGCCGAAAGAAGAAGAACAACATTTAATATGACTCAGAACCTACCGTATCTCCAAACGCTTAACATGGCACCTTTTTGATGACCATTAAGACAGTGATATTAAAAGACCAAATTCAGTACACACCTTGTTAATAAAACATACTATATACAGGCAAGCAGGTGAGCGCAGAATCTGAACGTAAAACTTTCCGGCTGTCTTGAGTCTAGCGCCATTTTCAGTTTTACTGTCCGCATGGAAACAGCACATTTGACGATGTAGCTATTGTTTTTCCAGCTACATGCTAACACTACTTAGAACACAGCGCTGTAGAATGCTCAATCCTGATTGGTCAGAAAGTGTTTGATATGTTTTCTCTAATAGCAGGGCTCAAACAATAATTGCAGCTCTAAGGCAAATCACAGGTTTATACTAATGCACTAAATCACTGGGACTCTTATGGAAGACAGTCTACCTAATCTAATGATGATGATAAACATTTAAAAGAAAAATGTGGCTATTTAACAGAAAATGTATTGTCTGATATGAAGCTTTCTGTAAGGAGATGTTTATTTAACATTTAGAGGAGTCTAGAGTGTCAGCAATTTGTAACATGTAAAACTGTTACATTAAATTAATTAAATCTTAAAGTGGTATTTGTGTGCCTAACATACCCTTAAACATACTTCAAACAGGAAGGAAGCTATTGAAGAAAACTTATTTCAGACATTGGCCTTGCTGGTGATTGTTATGAGTTTTCATATCACTGCTATAAGGATGACACTCAACTCATCCTCTCCTTTCCTCCCTCACACACTCATGTTTCTGATCACAGCATGTCTGGCAGCTCATCAGCTCAAACTTAATCCCAGCAAAACTGAACTGCTCTTCATCCCAGGTGATTCTTCCCCATGTCAGGGTCTCGTGATATTCCTGGACAACTCCCAGGTCTCACCATCTGTCACTGCACACAACCTTGGGGTAACCTTACACAATCAACTACCCTCCTCTCACATCGCTAAACTGACACGCTCGTGCCGATTTCTCCGTTACAGCATCAGAAAGATTCTTCCATTTCTATCCACTCAGATGCTTGTTCACTCCCTTGCAACTCGCTCCTGGCAGGTCTGCCTCTGCACGCCATTCAGCCTCTGCACCTGATCCAGAATGCATCTGCACGACTTGTTTTCAACTTTCCCACACCACCCTGTTGCTATCCTCCCTCCACTGGCTTCCTGTAGCTTCCTGCATCAGGTTTGAAACACTTATACTTGCTTACAAAGCCGAAAACACACCAGCACCCACCCACCCACCTACCCACCTACCCACCTACCTACCTACCTACATTTATCACACCTCGCGCGGCACCACGCTCTCTCCGATCCTCTAGCACTGCTCGGTTGGAACCATCATCTCTCAGGGTACAAAGGAAGGCATGCATCAAGGCTCTTCTCTGTTCTAGCACCTAGGTGGTGGAATGAACTTCCCCTAGATGTCCGAACAGCTGATTCACTGGCAGTCTTCAAACGATAACTAAAGACTTACCTCTTCATAAAGTACTTAAAGTAGCACTTCATTTAAAAAATAATAATAATTCTTGTGGTGTGTGTGTGTGTGTTTTTCTTACTATGCTAACCGCCCCAAAAGGGTTTTTAGACTGATAGTACTCATAGTCTGTGACCTTGTGAACGAGTATGAGGATGCATTTTTTTGATAGAGACTTCAAAACATTTCTGTAAGTCACTCTGCCTAAGGGCGTCTGCCAAATGCCATAAATGTAAATGTATCTTTTCCAAAATCTGATTATCAGTGATAACTCCATATAAATCCTACAAACATTCAACCACTCCTCGGTCACAGTAATGACCACAATAATGAGGATCTCAGCAAAGTCCAAAAGAAATCCAAATTAGTCAAAAATAAAATCAATGAAAATAGCATTCATCTTCAGTAAGCACTTTATCCTGGTCAGGTCCGCAACGTAGTGCAGTAATCTGTCCAGCTAGATAGACTAGTAAAGCATCCAGCCTTCTAGTTAGCAGAGACAACAGTTTGTCAGATTTTGTGAGACACGGAGCAATCACAATCACAAGAGGGACAACTGGGGAAGTTGCCTTAAGCCCAGGCAGGAGCTCATGGGAAGCAGTCACAGGTAGTAATCAGACTTCCTGCAGTCAGAATTGCACAGCTCCTCTTACACATAACGCAGCTTAGCTAACAGGCTACGTCAACGAATGTTAGCATGAGGTAGGCTAGAAGCTGCATTTACATTCAGGGTGTATTACAGTTTATTACTAACTCAAACCATGATGGGACATGCTCCACCACACGGTTCTCACCGAGACATTATCTCGTTTGAAGAAAAAATAAATAAATAAAATAAGATTTCAATTTGTGCTTTAACTTATAGTCATTACTAAAACCATTTGTGATTTAAATCACATTTTCACTTAGTTCATTAATATCCATTTCCATTTACAGTATCTCTGAATTTTAAACTACTTTGTCAGTTTTGTGACACGTCTTGTCCTCGATTCCAAAACACAACTTAAAAAAAAAAAAAACCTACATTCACTTACATATTGCCAATACAGTTAGCTAGTAGTTCTGAGCTAGACTCAGAAAGTAGGAATAAAGGCTTTATCACAAAATCACAACAATGACCAAACAGGAAATAGCGCAGTTAACTGATCAACAGCCCATTCATTATTGCACAAAATAAATAGTGTAGAGATAATGTTTTCAATCAGCAAATCTATGTTGAAAACACAGTACAGTCGCCCATCTTCAGATGACTGGATTTAGACTAAACAGTAATCATGCAAGACTGAGTTCTGCTTACATCATATGACTGCCAAGGAACCATTACTGATTTGTGCAGTCTGAATGTAAGGGAACTATTGCGACCATTTTTAGCTTTGCAATAACATGGGAAAAGCAGCAGTGTGGCCTTCGAATACGGTTTGGAGAAATGTGTCTGTATTTTTTTAGGGGAATGGGTTTGTGGAATGCCACCCAGAGAGTGGGGTAGTGTGTGTTCGGGGGGGGTGGGGTTTTTCTTGCAAAAGAAGCGGTTGGACTGGTGGGCCTCACACAGAGACATGGGGCCACCCAGTTTCAGGCTGGTTTGTTTATTTTATATCCTTTGGGGAAAACTGTTCAGCGAGAGCTGTTTAGTAGGTCTTTGATTTGTTGTGTCGTCTTTTGCTCGCGGGGCATGTGTAAACTTTGCTTGGAACTTGTAAATTGGAATTGTATGTGTTAAGGGTCAAAGAAGAAGGTGGCCCTAGAGGAACTGATGAGACGGCTGGGGGGGGGGGGGGCTCAAGTCACTTCGACATCATCAGGTCACAATGTAGCTTTGAGGTAAATTGCTTCAATATAAGCAGCTGCCTAGCAAAAAGATTCAAAAGTGATGGACAAATTCCAGAGCATATTATAGCATAACATCATCAGTTGTCTGGGAAATGTGGAGTCAATGTCATACCACTGAGGCTTTTTAAAGGAATACTTCATTGATTATTAGTTTTGTACTGAACACTTGCAAAATCAGCATAGTACATAAGCAAAATGCGATTAATAATATTAGTACGTTTATTTATCCAATTGTAATTTCTACAATAAAATACTGAGCTCAAACCAGATTAATACTTTAAGGAACTGGAAAACATGATTAAAGTTGCCATAAAAACTAGGCACCAGAAACACTGAAGCAGGAAATCATCTGCTGGCTCTTTATTTTTATAAGTCTTATATAATTTTTCCCCCTCACCCTGTAAGGAGAAAAAAAAAAAAGTGAAGCATTGTTTATAAAAGCGTTGTGAAAACTAAGCTCAGGGCTGAACACAACTGTTGTAAGTAAACATTTATTCGGTGAATAAGAACATTTACGACACAACACACAAACATCCAAACAAATTGTAATTAAACTTACAAGGGAACATGTTAACACAGAGCATTAGCAGTCAACATTCAGAAGAACCAAATTACTTGATTTGGTTTTTCCACTCCATTCGCATGTCATGCCAGATTGGGCGACCTGGCTTTTAGTGCCTCAATAGCTGATCGCAGGGCATGGTAAGATCCTACATCAAAGAGACAACAAAAACCACTAATATATTGTGTTTGACAGGACTGGGTGCTTTATTACTTTTAGAAATTGATTCAGTTTGAGGAACAAACCTTGAAGTCTTTCCATGTATGCATCAATTTCTGGTAGACCGCTTATAATGTCATAGGATGTGTGCTCCATCGCTCTGGCAATTTCACTGCCACCCTGAAAGACAGCAAATGGCAAGACAGGCGCATAAACAAAAGTGACAAGTTGTTACACACCTCTCAAGAGGCATGTAGTGTGCAACAAAACAGCTGGCTGAATTCACAGATTAAAATGTTTGTGAATGTATGAGCATGGAGTATGCACCTGCAGATCTTCATAGAACCTCTCCTCCACTTCAGAGAACTGGGCCATGGCTTCGAGTTCTGCAGGAATACCCTCCTAAAAAGTAAGTGGTCAGAAACAAACATGCATAAAGTCAGATTTTAGTTTAAAAAAAAAAAAAAAAACCTAACTAACATCACAAAATGCACATGGTTTCAGCCATTTGCCATAAGGGCTTTCTAGAAGCTTTCATCCGAAAGCCTTTAAGCTGGAACTCTGCAAAGCTTCACGTACCTCCTCTAAGGAACTGCTGCCCTCCTCTGACTCCTCTGTTAGCTTAGTGTTCTGTGCAGCTCCCTTAGACAATCCATTCAACTCCTTCACCCTACCAGCCAGAGACAGAAACAAGCGTGAAGCCAAGTCTAGCCACTAGAGGGACCCTTAAGACAAGAGAGCTTTTTTTTTTTGCGACAGAAGCAAA